TAAGGAGTCTGAGCTTGTTCCTGTAAGCAATTGAAAAGCATTGACGATTTCCAGAAAAGAGAATGATCAAAAGTGGGTTTTAAGAAGACTCACCTGGCAATCAGATACAGGATGAAATGATTCTAAGATGTGAAAATGATGCTCTGAATGTAAAAGACACAAAAGATTTTTAAAAAGGGGGGGTGGGGTAGTTTTCAAGGTCACAAATGTGCACATGAAAGCAGAAAAGGAAGCTGGCTCTATGATACTTTCCCGTATCAAGGAATATATAATCACTGAAAATTTGTTTTGAATATTAAATCCAAGGGATGCTCACTACACGAGCCGAAAAAAGAAACACACACACACACACACACACACACACACACACACACACACACACACACGCGCGGTAGGTACTACAGAGGGAAAGGGATCCTGGCCTGAGAGAAGCAATAAAAATGTTAAAGGGTGCACAAACCCAGAGACATCTAGAGGGATAAGAAATAGGAAAAGAATTGAATAGACTTGGCTACACATTGCAAAGAATGCACAAATAATAAATGAATTAACTCACTGGTTAATTGTTTAAGATTTTTCCATTATAGAGGTTTGGGCAGGAAGGAAACTTAGAAATCATCTCCCTCCCGTGCAGTAACACTTTGGGCAACATTGTTCTAAACAGCCTCACAGTTTCAGTGTTTTGTCTAATGACCTGAGCTTGCTAGTAGGCCAGGAGGGTCACCCAGAGGCAGGCCTGGGGTCTCCGGCCCCTCCCAACACCCATTCTTTTCCCTAAGACTAGATCACCACCATCATTCCAGGCCATCGATTTTGTCAGTATCCTAAAAATGATAGGCCAGTACTGAGTACATTACTCTAGAAATCCCTAAAAATCTAAGCATTGGAGGGGATGATAATGTCTCCCTTCTTTGGTTCATAGAACAGAGCCTGTGATTATGCTTGTTTTGGGTCTGTATAGGACCCACCTCTGGGATTCTTTATTAGGTGCTCGAATGAGCAAGGTCAGTTCAGCCCTGCTTTGTCACTTGATGGTGCTGAGCCTAAATGGGGCATATTTGTTGTTATTCTCTATAAAGCTTTATCTTTTTTACAGCTTTTCAGCCAGTCCTAACACTGCATCTGTTATCTGGTAAATATTTACTAAATAATTAGTGTTCCAATGTACAATTTTAAGTTTGGCTACTTTGATATTCCACCAATAGCTAACCCTTTTCATTTCTTCCCCTTACCTTCTGTCACCCCATAAAAAGATGCGTTTGTCTAGGCAACGATTATGTCTTATGCATGCCCATTTCACCAAAACCTACCGAAGCAGGTGGCATCAGCTAATGAATTTCTTTTTTTAAAGTTTGGAAACCAAGTGCCAGCCAGCAAAACAGACTCCTGGGTTGTGTCTCAGGTCAGAAACCACACAGCTCTGCACCACTCTCAAGCACTTGACCAACTCTTGAAGCACAATCAAGTTCCTTGGAGTCAGATAGCCCTCGGGCACAGGATTTAATTGAAAAACTTCAAAGAGTTCTCTGTGCCATCTCTGAGGAGAAAGAAGCTCAGAGGTCTTGGAGGCAGTAATCAGAAAAGTACCTCCCCATTGAACTCAGAATCATGTTTGCAATAGAATCTTGCAAGATAATTTTAATAACAATGGCCTCTTTTGTGTAAAGTTAAAAAAGAGTCATGAGAATGTGATAGACCAGCTCTCTTCTCAGCAGTTCTCAGGATTCCATTGTCATTTATTAGTTAACTTTTTTTCCCTTCCTTCCTTCCTTCCTTCCTTCCTTCCTTCCTTCCTTCCTTCCTCCCTCCCTCCCTCCCTCCCTCTCTCTTCCTCCTTCCCTCTCTTTCTTTTTCTTTCTTCCTTTCTTCTTTTCTTCTTTCTTTTTCTTTCTTTCTTTCTTTCTTTCTTTCTTTCTTTCTTTCTTTCTTTCTTTCTTTCTTCCTTCCTTCCTTTCTTTCTTCCTTCCTTCCTTCCTTCTTTCTTTCTTTCTTTCTTTCTTTCTTCCTTCCTTCCTTTCTTTCTTTCTAAACACCTTCTATTTGGGAATACCTGTACAAGCTATTATGGGACTGCAAAAAAGGAAAGATAATAGACTCTGTTCCTAAGGTGTGCATCTGACATACATTCTAAAAATAATTTTAAAATTATCCCTTTCCTTTTGAAAGAAAAAAATCAATGTTTTGATACCTTTACTTTCTACAACTAGTAAAAGGAGGAGTAATTTATCATCCCAAAGATGAATTATTAATGTTTATGTTTTTATATATACAAAATTAGCAAATGTTGTTTTAAAAAATTAATCAATATAACACTGTATAAAGCAAAGAGTAAAAGTGGCCCCATGCATACACAATAACACAGAAAAAAGTCACATAGTAAGAGCGAGAATGTGCCCTTACAGACATTTTATGTCTGTACACACACATTTGTAATGTTTATGTAACAAAATGCTCCAAGGATCTTCTTTAGTCTTGAAATCTTGGCTAAAGCTCCAAAGCTGAGGACAGTAGTCTCAGCAGAGCCACACGTTGTAAACAGTACCAAGGAGCTATCCCAACTCTCCTCGGCCTGATAAAGAATTGGCCAAACTGCTCTTTCTACCCTCACCCCCATACCCCCTCCATCCTCCAGGTAAGGCTCACAGAAGGACAAAGGGAGTCATCCAGGTGGTGAGATGCAAGCCTGGAAGAAAGGTGCTTTGGCAGGAGTAGGGATGCTCTCCTCCAACCCCCCAGCCCAGTCCATACAGGGAGGAGGGTGTCAACTTGCATGCTTACTGGGCTGTAGGGCTTCATAGAGGATCCGTGCATCCCTTAGCATCTGAGCACATAGAGACCGCAACTTACTTTTCACCTGGAGCTTCTGTGACAGCAAAGAGAGGAGTCAGCAGCAGCACAATGGGGCACACCGCACCATTCAGCATAGCAGTGTGATCTGAGTCCCTGGTGATAAGGAAAATATAAATGCAAATATTGAAACAGCGTTATTCAAAAGGGTTGGCAAAAATTAAAAAGACTGATAACATTTTGTGTTGGCAAAATTATGTGGAAAGGGGCACTCTCCAACATTGTATGTAGGGCTACAAATTTGAATATCTTCTAATTACAGTATTTCTAAGGTCTCTTTCAGCCTTTAAATTCTATGCTTATAAAAGCAATTTATAAATAGAATGGGTGCTAGAAGTTTCTAAAGAGCACCACACACCAAACATTGCTATTCAAAGAGAAAGCTAATTGGAATTCATCAATCTCACAATTCAGAGGTCCCATATTAATTTTGTGCATTGGAGCAGATCATTTGAATGCAGGTGGTCAGCCAGATAGATTGCATCTTCAGATCTTCAAGAACGCTGTTGAAATCCTTTCATTACAAACATTTGCATGTTAGATTTTCACTGATGTTCCGTGCTACAAAGTCAATGGGTTGGCTAAAAATGTTTTCCAACATGCCCCCACCCCAGCTCAAAATTGGAAGCATATGTGGTGACAGCAGCCTTGCCCTAAAGTCAATATCTTGAAATGGTGAAAAATAGCAACTGGTCGCTTTCCCAGGTGGTGTGTTCACTGAAAACAAGCTTTCTGCAGGCCAAACTGACGCAGGTTCCAGGGTCTGAGCTAGATTTTGAGTGTGTCTGACAGGTGGAGAGAGGAAACTAGAGTAGACATGCCTGAGGGTGCAGACATCTGCCAGCTGCCACCTCCAGATGTATTCACAGCCTCCGCTGCAGCTGGAAGCCGCCAGCTGTAGGGAAGGAAGGCAGCATTCTCTTATCCCCAAATGTGCACATAAAAGAAAAGGAAGCTGGCTCACTTCTTTTATTCTCTTATCCTTTTCTGTCTCTGGGACCGCCCAATTTTCCCCTTTTCCCTTTTCTTTGTCTGCCTTCTTATTCTTTCTTCTCTGTTCCTCTTTCTATCACTTTCATATTTTCCCCTTTATCGTGCCTTTTCCCCCTAATGCTAACCCCCACCCCTGGTCTATTACTGGATACAGGGAAATACTGTCACTTTAAATCATTATAAGTACCCTAAAAAGACTTGTCCTATGGTAGTGAGTGAGGTCCAAAAAGGCTGCAGCGGTCATGGGCTCTCCACCATGACATCACGACCCCAACGAGGACACGCCAAGCTCCCTAAAGGAAGCACCATCTTGGCTCCCTGCTTCCCTGGATCTAAGCATCGAAGTCATCAAACTTTAGTAATACTGATTCGTAGCTCCATTTTCAGCTGAGATGGTAAATGAACATGTATAGAAAATACCCCTTTACTCCCAACATTCTAGAATGAGTATAAATACTGGACTATATATAGGCTATGTAACACAGCCAAATTCAAAAGAAAGAAGTAACATCTTGAGAACAATACCTTTAAGACCATGGCTATGAGAAGGTATTGAAGCCAGGTAGTCCTCAGGTGTGTGGGGAGGAGATACCTGCCTCAGAACTAAAGCTTTGGAGTTGGAGCCCCAAACCCCCACTCAACAGGCCGTTGGAACCGGACTCGCTGTATAAAACCAAGAGTGAAAAAGTCAAGTGCCATCCTTGATGAGTGACCAGAAAATTCTACCCAACAGTTGTAAAGCTACTAGCATTTCTTCCAATAACCTTCGAGGCTGATCAAATCGTAATCCTAACAGTGGGCCCTCTTGGGGGTTTTAATCTGGGCAGATGACAGCATCGGAGGAATCTTGCAATGAAATCTGCTCTAATCCTGTATTTTGGATCTCCTATTAACAAATAAGCAGTTAGCATAGAAAGAGACCACTGGTTTCTACAGCCAAATATTTGAAATTTTGGGTGGAATCAGTCATTCTTGTATTTGCCAAAAGCCTATACCAGACACAGGTCATATATATCAAACAGGCACCCCTTATTGGTTTTTATGGAGGTTAATTAACAGCTCCATTGTCAGCAGGCCATTTAAAGACACTCAGCTAGAAATGCCGGCTGCTTTACTGAAGTTATGGATATTTCTGAGCCTCCTGTGGAGGGTTGTAAAGTCTTACTGAAGTGGCTGCACAGCAGGGTGATTCAGGCCCATTTAGATTTGTAGCATGTATGTGAATGACTGTCTTATTTTTATCCTAACCCTTTCCTTCCAGCTGGGAGAGCTACCTCCAGAAAACTAATATAAGGAAGTGGTGGTGTCCATTTGCCATCCAATATGGATTTACAATGGGCTTTTCCATTCCCTCAGACAGTAATACCTTCATTTGTGTAGAATTTTATAAGTTTACAGAATACTTTCACAGGGTAACCCAGTTCCTAGAAGGCAGATAAAGGAGCCAAGGTCACTGTCCACAAATGTGAAAAAGAGCTTCAGGTAGGTTTGGTGGCCTGTTCAATGTTACATAGAAGAGCTGGGGCTTGAATCCAGGTTTCCAGTCCATGAAGCAAAGTGACCAGGTGGCCTCCCCTTCCAATGACCATGACCTTCCATTCTTCCCGTCATGACACTGATTGACTTTGGCTATCCTGCACGCTTTAAAAAAAAAAAAAAGTGTAGTAAAATATACATAACATAAAATTTATCATTTTAGCCATTTTTAAGTGTATAATTCAGTGGCATTGAGTTCATTTGCGTTGTTGTTCAACCATCAACGCCATCCACCTTCAAAACTGAAACTCTACCCTTCAAATAATAAGTCCCCACCCCCACCCCCAAAATTTCCGGTAAGCATGATTCTACTTTCTGTCTCTATGAATTAACTATTCTAGATAGCTAATATAAGTGAAATCATACACTATTTTCCCTTTTGCATCTGACTTATTTCACTTAGCATAATGTTTTCAAGGTTCATTCATATTGTAGCATGTACTATAAATTCAATTATTTTAAAAACTGGATAATATTACATTGTGTGTGTGTATATATATATATATATATATATATATATATATATATATATATATATGCCACATTTTATTTATTCATTTATCTGTTGTTGGTGCCCTGAACTCTTACCTCCTTCTTTGGGAAATAGCACTTTGATTTTCCTTTTTCCATGGATAAAGCCTGGTAGAATTCTGTATTAATGGGCTCTGGGCTGGGAACAATCCAAGCAGCTGTTCAGTCCTAGAATTTGAAGCACAAGCAACATGATAAATAGAATAAAAACGGAAAAGTCTTTTAGAAAAACATAGCTATAATCAGGCAAGACTGAGTAGTAGATTCGGCTACATAGAAATGTTCCAGTTCTCATTAATTTCTTCCCTTTGATTATGTGACTTACACCACAGCCAATAATAGATTTTCTTACTAAAAACCAAAGATCTCTAACATTCATTAAAACCAAATGAGGAGTAACCCACTTCCACAGCCTCCATTATAGCTATGGGCATGCATATCTTCCCCTGAAAGAATGTATTCGATGTTTATCTTTACATTATTTGCCTATATAGATTCGTGGGACAGAACACAGAGTATAAGGGGTAGGGAGAAAGAAAAATAGAAATTTATGGCCATTTTTTTGCCCTACAGATGAGCTTAAGTTTCCTTTAAAAACCTACTTATCTCGCTTTTGCTTATTTTATGTCATATCTGGGCATAAAGACTTAATTGCCAGTACTAAGAGGCTTTTTAACTCCCTCCAATCTGGTCTCCCCAAATTCCTTTGAAATGTGTTTAAAGGATGACCAGTGTTCCTAAGTGCTTTATAATACCAAATTCTTTTTTTTTTTGCTTTTGTTTTTACCTACAAAAAAAGAGTCCCATTTCTCTCAAAATATTCACTCATTCAACAAATAATTATTGAACACCTGAAATATACCAGGCACTGGGCTAGGTTCTAGGGACTCAGCAGCACACAGGACAGACAGGCTCTCAGCCCTTGTGAAATTTACCTTCCAGTGGGAGAGACCAAAGCTAATGAAATAAGCAGACAAAGCTATATAAAATTCTAACTCAACTAAATGGTCTGAGCAAATTTGACGCAGGATGTCACCTGGTCAGAGATGCAGAAAAGGCTTCGTCTAGAAAGGGTGACTGAAATGAGTTTTAAATCAGTACAATAAGTAGGACTTACCTAAGTGGAACAGTGAGGTCTGAGGGAGGAAGGGGTTTTGACAGAAGAACAGACAGACAGAGTAGGCAAAAGTTCTATGCTTGAAGATGGCCTGGCATCTCTGTCTCTTGAAATTTCACAATTTCATCCTGATTTTACCTAATAGTTTTTACCCAGATTTCCCTCTGGGAAAAGCTTTAGTATACTACTTCTAATGTTGAACTCACAAGAGCCCTGTTAGACCATGAATTATCAGGGTTTGGCTGGGTCCCAAGTTCTGCAGCCCATTTCTCCCTCTTACCTTCTTGCACGTATATATACCATCCACTTGGACTTCATAGGTTCAGCCCAGCAGGGCTGAGCATCTCATGGGCTGAGAAGGAAGGGATTTAAGGAGTTCTGGGCTCAAGTTAATGTGGTGGCTAGCTTAACCCTGACCTTGTGTCTCAGTTCTCATAACCAGGGCACTAAGAGAAGACTATTTTACTCATAGACTTGGTGACAGCTCCCTCTCTGGGTAACCTCCGTGGTCTCCCATCTCTGTCCAGCACTAGGGTTCTGCTTTGCTTTTTCCTCTCTCTCTGCTGGGAATCAGTGCCCCACCCTGGATTCCAGCAAAGCCCTTCTGTCTACAGCCATATCTCCTGGGCCACGCTCTGCTTGCTGAAGGTTGGAAACCTCTCCTGCTCTGTATTTCCCACTGTAGCGTCCACCCTTTTGGGATGGGTGCCCTTCCACTATCAGCTGTTTGCAGTGACCATTCACTTCTTAGCTCAGCTCTGCAGGGTGTCTGGCCCTTCCTGGACTGCCCCCACTCATTTGGGGACATCCAGCGCAGGCTCCTTCTTGTCTTCCACCAGGGCACACCCCAGTCAGACCAGACCCCAGGCAGAACTACAGCAGAGCCACCTTTCCTTACTTCCTGGTGCAGGGCTCTTCACAGTCCATCCAAGTCCTATAACTCGTCAACGAGACTAGCTATGTTAACTGGGATTTGTGCACTTTGATTCAGATGTAAAAAATAATGTGTGATTAGAGAGGGATTTTATTTTCATTAGTTGAGGAGCTTTGTCATCCTCAATATGTATTTCCTCATCTGGTCAGAGACCATTTGTAATCAAATCATCTCCAGCCCAATGAAACTCACACTGTCTGCAAATTGACAGAGACCATGGGCCATAAACCAAGTGGCCAGGACCCGTGACGATTAGATCAGGGTATGCGAGTAGTTCTGACCAGGGCTCACCCACTTCCCCTCTCTGAAGTCCGCCAGGTCCTGTGGAGAAAGGCGACAGATGGCTACTGTTTCTCTACTCAGCTCTCCGGGCCCTACGCTCCCACCCAGGGCTCTCCCACCTCAGGGCTTTCCCACCTCAGAGCACTCAAGTCAGTAGGGAAGTGCAAAGCATCAACTCTTCCCAATACTGAGCAGCCCTCTGTAGGGAAACACCCAGCTCAAAAGCAGCCCACATCCCCCAGCCATTTACAGCCACTGTAGTGTAGAGAGCATTTCAGTGTGCATAGCTCATGGGCCAAGTCAACGCTGAGGACCACTAGCCAGGCTGGATTTCCTCTGTTCCTGCTCTTTGACACAATTTGAAGTGACGGTAAGACAAGTGTCTCCTCATGGGTCCTCATTCCCTGCCACCCGACCAGAACAAAACTGCTCAGTCATTTCCTTAAAAACTGCACAGGTTGCAGAAAGGCCAAGCTTGGAAAATGTGCCAGGGAACATGAGTTGTCACGCCACCTCACATGATGTCTCAGAATCTGTAACCTAGTACAAATCCCCATAATCTTAACACTTCATCTTACTTAGCAATACTCTGTGACAGAAATGTGTGTCCAGATCACCGGGGAGCCCTTGATCAGAGCTCTGAGTACAGGCTGTTCTGACAGTATCTGGGAAATACCTAAGGATGGGGGAGGTGGAGGGGGTGGAGAATGTTGATGATGCAGATAAAAAAAATTTTTTTTTTAAATCTAGAGAACAGCACACTAATAAAATTGCTATGTAAAACATACCCAAAAAATAAAACATAAAAAGGAGGAAGAGGAGGGAAAGGAAGACAAAAAGGAAGAAAGCAAGAGTCCTTCCACAGCCCCACTCCTGGCGGAGGTGCCCAGACAGCACCACACACACCACCACCATTATTACTGCAGACCCTCTGTGTGTTTCTATAAAAGAGTTTAACACTTTTCTTTAAATGATCAACCCCCCACCTGCTCAACTTTGGTAAGCAGATGTCACCAGGAGGGGAAAACAAAACAATTATCTCCCAACACAAGGAAGCCTTCCCCCCAACCTGTGCAAAAGAAGTGAGAGCAGTGGTCCCAGTGCCTGTGCAGTTGCTGGAAGTAGTTCGTTGGTGACATTCCCACGGAGGAGGATGTGGGGTTTGGGCATAACTCGTCCAGCTCAGGACTCCATCGTCCCATTAGCTGAAAGCTGCTTGCCAGTGGCTTCGGCACTGCCCAAACCTTGGTAACCGAACACCCTCAGAGCAGGCCAAGGGCACGCCCGGGCAGCCTCCCAGTGTTGATAGTTTTCATCCACTGGAAGGCAGACACCGCACTGAGAGCCAAGTGGTCTGCAATGACAGAGCAATAGCAAGTAGGATTTAGCAGGCATGGTGGGCCCCCACATCTGGCCAGTTCAGATACATACATCATGTCACAGGCCAAATAGTGGGTGGTAGCTATAGAAATACATGCATTTAAAAATCCCGTGCTGACATTTTGAAGGTAAACCCTGCTAGAGAAATGTAAGGGTTTGCAAACTTAGGCTGGAAAGGACTTGAGAAGTTGAAAGAAAGGAAATTTTTCGTACAAAACATATGCTTTCAGGGATGTGATTATTTCATCCAGGAAAGCTACATTCAGTTAAAAATCAGGTCAAGAGAATAAAATACCTAAATAGGGAAGTCCACACTGTAAAATAAATAATTAACAGGCCAAGAAAAGGTTAACAGAAGGAAAAGATATGAGGCTGTGAAATTTATCGTGAACTAAATATCCCCACAGAAGACAGCGAGTGTCCCCAAATTAAACAGAGACTCCCAGGAGCAGAATGCACCCCTTCCGTGATCCTACCTGGGTGTACTTGGCTTCTTTAAGGAAACACATGACACAATCTACTCACAATCACCTCGGGCTGGGCAAACAGATGAGAGATACATCTGTGGAGAAGCAATCCTTTTTTACAAGCGCCAGTAAATTCACCCTTCCTGAAGAAGGGTGAAATCATCCACCAGGCTAGGATAACATAATCACAGTAATGTTTTATTGAAACTATCTCCATGCTTGTAAATACATTTCCTTTCCTAGAATTCCTTCTGCCTCTTTGCCACCAGTCAACAAAAACCCTGTGCTTTTTCAGAACTTCTGATGTTTTCCCATGAGGGAAATACTACCTCATGATAATTTCCACCTTGCTTTATATTCTATTAACTTATAGGAGGTGTTATTATTTAATTTTGCTTCTATACTTTAGCTATCTTTTTTTTTTCATTCCCTCTCACTTAAAACTCTGTGACTCGATGGTCAGAACCTTTTTCTTCTGTGCTCCATTGTATGATCCTATAAATAAATGGGCATTCAAAATAGGTATTCTCATTGAATATTGAAAGTATAACACATTAAAAATTAAACCCTTGATGAAACCTCTAAGTTATTACTGAAAAGGTTTCTTTCAGGTACAAAATCTTGAAGGAAATATGAAAAATGTCCACTTCCATTCTGCACTCATGACCTGAACTTCCTGTCCACTTCCTCATAGTCAACTAATAAAAGTTACACTTGGTAAAGTCCTTGTGGGTTAGTTAAACTGCTTCTCCATAGATCTTCTTAAAACGATGACTACCCACTGGAACTCACCTTATTTCCTTTCTTAGAATAAGCCCAGGACCGGAAGAGAGGAATGTGTTCTAGCATTTGCATTTTATTCCTGTTTATTCACTGTTTTCTGTGTATATAGGGACTTGAGGACACTCCCATGGTTTGAAAACGTCTATGACCCACAGCAGCCACATTAATGGCCCTCCAACTGACCATGCTTTCCACCTAGAACAGACAGGTATTGACGCCAGCATAACATCCAAATATTTATGCACTTAGACTATAGTGGATTTTTTTTTCTTTAAGAAGTGGGAAATATAAGAAATAAAGATCAGAATATGCCACCCCAAAATATTCCACTTAGACATAAAGATTATTTTGAGCTGAACACAGTTGAGAAAAAGCAGACACGGAAAGAGCTCTGTGTTCCTCCTATCTGCAGTATGTAAAAGTAAGACACAAATTCCCTTTGTGTAGGTGCCGCCGCCCTCTCCCATGCCAAAAAGAGGGAAACAGCCCTGATCACTGGAGATGAAGACAGCACCTAAATAAGTGTACATCAACAAACCTTACTAGATAAACCTTACCTACCATTATTTTTTGTCATATGTTTACCTCAACCCAACTTACTGCCCTTAGAAGCCCAAATCCCCTTTCCTTTGTCTAGTCACTTCACAATTCATTGCCTTTTTGTTAAAATAAGCTTCCCAAGTCTAACTGTTTCTTTGGGTTTTACTTTTTTTCTGTGGAGCCCCTGTGCACAAAAATTTTAAAATAAAACTTTTGTGTCTTTTCTCTGGTTAATAATCTGTTGTTTTGTTTTGTTTTATTTTGTTTCATTTTGTTTTGTCAGTTTAATTTACAGGCCTCAGGCCCAGAACCTAACAAGGTAGAGGAAAAGTGTTGCTTTCCCTACAGAGAAATAAGACGAAAAACATGTTCATCTAATTTTTGTTCTCAGGCCTGGGGCAAATTCAAACTTTACATTTTCCATGATAACAGAACTAACACAGGAAAAAAGAAAGAAAAAAAAAGGTAAACAATGGCTTCAGGGTTTTTAGGAGCTAGAAGTACAAGTTGTGGATGACATGTCCATGTTCTGGCACCAGAGACTTTACTGGTCCCTGATGTCACCACATCATTGAATGGCCAGATTATTCTACTAGAAGTCTTTATTTATACTATAACTTCATTGCTTTAGTGAGTTTAATCTGAAACACTTGAGTCAGTACTTTTCTGATTTTAAATTCTTACAAAAATGTTAGTTCATGCTCCTAATTTGACTTTTTTCTTATTAGGTTGATTTATTGGTATCTTCTCTCTCTCTCTCTCTCTCTCTCTCTCTCTCTCTCTCTCTCTCTCTTATGTTTTCAAATACCAAGTGCTTTTTGTTTTGTTTTGTTTTGTTTTTGTTGCTTCAGAGTTCAGGCACACACTTTGGAGGGAGTTACAGAAATGCTATTATTGATTCTAGTAGCTCTAAGTCAGAGGTGACCCAATTACTGCTTTTCAGTCACACAAAGGAGCCCAGGCCCCTGGGAAGTGGTGCTCCGGGGTTCACATTTAATAAACTCTGAATACAATGCACTTGAACAATAGGCTGAAGCAGCTACACCTGCTTAAGTGCTGGGCTGGGTCCCTGGCTTTATTCTCCACCACTTGGGCCACAGCCCTTGACCAAGAAACAAGCACCTGGCATCATCTGGTTTTGCACTGTCTGATGAGCCAGGACACCTGGCTTCTGTATTCTTGTTTCTGGGATGAATAGTCCTGCTCAGAAATCAGAAGAGACTAGCATAATTATTACAACTTGGTTTCAGCCTCATTGTAAACAAGTGTGTTATTTCTCTAGGACACAAGACAGTTCATATGGTCATATAATGATTTTTTTTTCAATTCAGTACAGCAACCTTTTATGCAGTCTGTCAAAGGCATTGATCTAGGATCGCTAGGGATAAAAGAAATGGTGGCATGCATCTAATATGAAACACACTCTGTGACTTTAAAGAGCTTGTACTCTATGGAAAATGGAAGAGTGTTGGAACTCATTTTCAGAACAGTGCACAGGAAGCATAGAGGTGACTCTTATATATGTTTCAAACTATATAAATCATTAAAAAATAAAAAACAGGACTGGGCCCCCTAAGATCCTTCAGAGCTTGAAAATTAAATGTCACTTTCTGTATGGTTGACCTCTAAGGCAATCAAAATAGGACATAAAAAGCTATCCCTTGCTGCCATGATTTAAATCATTTTTCCAAAATGGGTTTGCCAAGACAAAAGGAGGTGTTTTCTGCCACGAAGGGGAAATGAATGAGAGGGAGAGTGTGTGTTGAACAGTCCCAAGTTAATCGTGGCATTTATTTAGGTTCCTGCAGCTCTCCGGCCCTCTGCTTACGATATCAAAAGGCAGAAACAGCAGTGCTCACCTCATCATGCCATAGGATGTTATATTCTTCCTATAAACAATATGGTGCAAAGGTTCAGGGAGAGTGAGAAGTCTGAGCTGAAGCAATTTTTTCCACTACTTATCATTTTTGACAGTTACAAGAAATCAAGAGAAGGGATTTTCTTGTCTAATTATTTCTAACCTTAAAGTTCAGGGAATTTAGTCTTCCTCAAGATTAGGATGCACTAAATACATCCTGAGGAAAGGGTGCAGTACATTTTCTGCAAATGCTGTCCAGATGTGAACTCTCTCCCTTTACTTAAGATATCAGAGGAAGGGGCAGGAGAGGGGAGGAGCATTCGGTCATCTCAGCTCAGAGCAGATGCATCAGTTAGCACTTTATGTCGCTTCCACCTGCAACAGGGCAAAAGCCATCCTGGTGATGGAACTCAGTCTGCCCGCAGACTACTAACTCAGACCAAGAGCGAGCCAGCGGCTGCAGGATCCCAGAGAGAGTTATAAATAACCCCTCAGAACTGCTTTCTGGTGACTTATTACCACTGAGTGGGAACATGCATTTCCTTGAAGACACCGGATATGAAGGCAAAAAGGACTCCAGAAGCATGGATTTTTGCTGAACTTGAAATATTAGAGAAATAGTTCAAATAGCCCAGGAGAGAGAAATAGGCTGATCCTCAAGTTTTACCTATCTTGAGGATCCTCACATACTTTGATTTCTCAGGGCTTCTGCATGAAAATCAGATTTCTCCTATTTGGAATCAGCTCCTTCTGCTTGTTTCCCAGTGGCAGACCTCGTGATCTGATATGAGGACACCTTGATGAGATGCTGCAGTGAGAGCATTTGATGGGGGTGCAGAAATCTGCCCCCACGCAGGCAATCGGCACCTGCTACAATGGAGCCCCACAGCCTGTGCTGGCACAGAAATTGCACTGAATCAGAGACTGCCCCCCACACCACCCATGGCAATCCAATCGCCCCTAACAGGGGCACCACCAACCTCAGATTCCTCTGGAAAAGGGGTGTCCACCCTCTTCCACCATTCACTCTTTCTAAACTTGAAACATTAAAATAAAATACTGTATTTCTAGTTTTACATATAAACTCAAATTGTAAGTAAGAGCTTCTATCCCCCATATCTTGTCCTCAGTGGAGATAGAGGCCAGCTGCCTTACTATCTGTGGGAAGGAACTCCAAAATACTTACCAGAGTGTGCAATTATTGTTCATTGTCATCGGAATACCTCTGCCTCTTTGATGCTTGTCTATTTCCGCATATCCAGTCCCACAGAGAGGCACTATTTACTGTAAGACCTTTGACAGGTCAGTTGGCCTCTTTGTGCCTCAGTTGTCCATCTGGGAGTGGACAGAGAGGTACACAGGATGATCTCAAGATCCCTGGCAACTGTACCCTGTAACGATTCAAAGACTCCACCAGCCTGTAAGATTCTCAGGAATAGTTTTTAATGCTTTGTTGGACATGGTTGAGTCACACTGGAATGGCACTCGTAAGATGAGGTTGGAGTATAATGATATCTCCTGAAATAAGATTGGGCTGATGAATGTGGATAAGGAATGCAATGCAGTGTGGGATCGAAAAGTACAATCAGAGCACAGAGATGGCCTGTCCTCCGCCAACAGACAAGATTAGGCAAATTTCTGACACTTGATCAATGGCCAGCTGCCATCGGAAATATGACTCTTCCCAGAAGAGCTGTCTATTATCTGTTTGGCAGAAATCTCAGGGTCGTGATGCCAATAGTTTGCACAGGCCTTGGGTGAGTCGGCCCTGGGTGAGTCAGCACTGACTGGGGTGCTGATAAGTGTGGCTTCAGAGATCGACAGTGTGAGTGCTCAGGACTGTTAGACTGATGAACACCAGGACGCGTTCCAGAAGGCTTGCTATAGACGCCAATAAACAAAATGTCTTCCTACAACTATACCTTGGAACACTCACTTGCAAAGCCTGAAGTGAGGGGCTTATCCCTGGGACATCCAGGGGGTGGATCCACCATTAATGGGGTCGCAGGCAGCTGCAGGCACCCCCAAGAAAAGGACACTGGAAATTCCGAGGAAATAAGCAAATCCAAAGCAAAGAAGGACCATCCCTTAGGGGTTTTCTTTTAAATTCAGGGCTCAGGTTTAGGGAAATATCCAATATGGATGAGGAGAATTGTGCAGGACCAGCCTCTGACCCTCCCTGCGCAGGCTGGAGGGAAGGAATAGGCACAGTAGAAGGCTCTCCTGGGGTTGGCCTGTCGAGGACCTCCTGCTGAGCAGGCTGTCAGTGCTAGGGGCGCTGGAGAACATCATCTTCCTTTGACCTGACATGGCACAGGTTCCCCAGGCTTTCTCCAATCAGTCTGGGTCTCCCAAGACACCATGTGATCTCAGGTCTCTCAAGGCAAGCAGGGTTCAGAGCGCTGGAGACCTGGAATACTCTCGGATAATATGGAGCACATCCTCCCCAATTCCCACATGTGTGAAAAACGTCACTAGGACAGCCTTTAAATACTGATATTATTATTTATAAAAGGCTCTTAGCAACATGTTAAAAAATAAACTCAAAGCATACGGAATGATTCAAATGAAAGTCTCTCCGTTATGCTAAACACCCCGCCCCCATCTTTAGTTCTACTTCCTAGAAATAATCATTTTTAATTAGTTCTGGTTTTAAGTCTTCTATCCCATACAGCTGACCCATATGTGTGTGCCTGTATTTCTGGCCTTATCAACTCCAAATAACATCTGTCAGTTTCCTACCATGAAACTGAATTTAGTCTGTTTCCTTACCTCTCAGCCCATCTGCATTGCACCTTCCAATTCTTATGAGCTACATTAACATTTTAAGACCTCTAATTTTTAAGATTTCTAATGGTCACATGCATAACTTTAAATAATAGGTATAAATCCCTATTCCTTGATTCATCAACTTCTGACATTATCAATCTGGCCCCTATTTTGTAAGATGAGGAAAGTAGTTTACGGCCTATAGAGCCTTGGCCCCCACACTTACCCCTCCCCAACTTGTCAGCTGATGAATATCCTAGAGAGAGCCCTGGGTTCAAACCTTCCCTGCCTCATTCCTTTTGTGTGACCTTGAGCATGCAACTTAATCTCTATAAACCTCAGTTTTCTCCTCTGACCACCAGGTGATCCAGAAAAAAAAGTGCTAGAAATACTTCTATTATTTAGTATAAGTCCACACTCCTAAGAGGATGGGGATAGGGAATAAAGAACAGTTCAAAAAGAAGGCGTATCCCATACTGGTTGCCAAAATTGCTCAACATTTATTGCTTCCTCTAGGATTAGTAAATTTTAAGTCTTGTTAAGTACATTCATTAAGAATTGAGATTGATTCGATTAGATTAGTGGGAATGGATCAAGCTCTTCTTGTTCTGAGTTTCCTCCCAAAGTAGTAGCTATGTTATTTTTCTTTGTTTATACAGATATATTGGGCTGTCGGAAAAGCCATGGCGCATTTTTGCAACGAAAAACATAGAAAAAATACATCATGACTTTTCCGACAACCCAATATTTAGTGGGTCCAGCCATATATGTGTTCTCTGACAAATTCCATGCTGTGTTTATCATTGATGTTCAAGGTCCTCTTGGGTAATAAGGTACAGTCAATTACCAATTACCAATCCTGATGGCTGATGGACAAGGAGATCATCTTGACAATCTCCCCAAAGGTAGGAAATTATGGTGATTGGTTTCTCTTTAGCTTTGTAGATATTTTTTCAACGATCCATTTGCAAATGAAAAAAATAATCTGATTATGAATTTTCAAGAATTCAATCAAAATGATGATAAAAGTCCTATGAAAACATAACATAGGAGGATCCTGACAATTGTTTGGCTACCTTTTTGCATTTTCCTGTTCAGAAACATTCTCTTCTTTGCCTTCACGTTGAAGACAGACAGCATCTCTTCACCAGCGGGCAAAAATACTAACTACTGAGGATAGCTAGAGATAAACTTCTGCTAAGTCAAGACTGGGCTGGAATCTATGCCAGTATTTCCATTCACCACACGGGGCGACTGATTGTCTGCAACCAGGTACTGACCATCACAGTTTCTCCATTGGCCAAGGTCAGTGTTTAACTGTGATGGTTTTGACTTCAGTGAAGAATTCATAAGAGTCCTTGCTTCCTTCTCTACCTACGCCGGAACTCTTCATCCCTCCGAAAGGAAGGTTCGGCTCTCTTATGAACCAGCAGTTGGTCCAGACCAAACCTGACTGCAACTTCTTCGCCACCCGGTGGACACGCCCCACATTGCTTGACCACACTGTCGCTGCCAGCCCATATTTAACATCGTTGGCTCTTTTAATCACTTCCTCTTCACTACCAAAGGGGACAACACATGTCACTGGACCAAATATCTCTTCCTTCATGCAAGGGGATTCGTCCTTAATGTCTGTTATCACGGTGGGAAGCATAAAATAGCCTGCCTGGTTCTTTGGGGGGAGACTCAACTTATCCACTCCCTCACCACACAGAATTTGGGCCCCTTCGGCACGAGCTTTCTTGATGTAACTTCTGACCTGGGTGGATAAAAACTATGATTAGCAACAGTTTACCATTTGGCTTAATACAAAGCAATAGGAAATTCAATATTTTTAGATCATCTAGGAAAGATGTATAAGGTCATTGCCAAGAAATCTAAGGTTGGTTATCTTATCACTCAGCTGCTAAGCCTGAGGGGCAGAAGGGCTCTAACCATCACTTGGGCGTTCAACCCTCATATGCAATAGGAGAGTGTAATTTATTTAATGTTTAAGTGCCAGGGTTAAGTGCATTACATACATTCTCACTTAATTCTCTCAAAACTCTATGTATTATTATCGCCTACTTGCTGATGATATAATTGAGCCTCAGAAAGAGTAAACATTTCATACAACTAATAAACAGGAAAGCTAGAATTCACTCTCAGGCATATTCAGTAGTTAAATACACAAAAGAATATTTTCTTACTGTTGGGGGGTGGGGGCTATATCCATTGCAGAAAGTGGGACGTTGAATGGTGTATAAGATTTAATTAAAGGCCAGGGTGCCCTTCAAAAATTTGAGCTTCCAGAACAAATAATTTCTAATTCTTAGCCTTATTACTGATTATATTCTGAAAGTATATCTAGATAACATAACACAGCTAACTATAATGGGAAATAAATTATGTAATAAGTTAACTCAGTGATTCAGAGATAATGATAGATGTTTATTAATAATGGGTGTAGAAATGACTCATCCTAATAATGATATATACACTTAAATATGGAAATATTGTTGAAGTCAAAAGATACATGATTCTACCCCTGAAGGGTATGATAAGCATAGGAGAAGTACCAAAACAATCCTCAAAATTAAAAGTATAGAACAGCAGTCAAGTAGGACATGAAAAGCAGGGTAAACTTTAAAACGACGTTTTGGATTCCTGCTTATCATTTATCGTCTGAACATTCTACCCCAGTGTTAGATTAGCACTCCACAGAACTATACTCAATATAGAGCTATATATTTGCCATGTAAAAATTTAAAAGGTGATGTTATTTTATTATTAAACGTGCTTCAATTTGTAGAATGCTTAGTAAAGCCATGAAGTCAAAGACTTTTTTAAAAATAGAACATTTGGTACAGCTTTATATTCGCCTCTGCTCCCCTGACTCCCACAACAGTACAATGATCTCAAAGCTTTCCCAGAAAAACCCTAGCTTCCTTTGTGGGTAGAGACTAAAATAGGTCTGGACTTCTCTTTCCCCCTTGTCTCTTGCTCCTTTTGAAACAACCCACCCACATTAATTAAAAGATGCCAAATGCGGCATCCTGTGTGAACAAAGGAAGTCCAGGCAAAGGTCTCCCAAGTTCCCTGCTGGAGGCAGCTCCAGGATTTTGTCAGTGATTCCAATGGTGCAAGGGGTGTTCTGGCTTTCAATTATCGCATCTAAAATGAATTCCATGGTTATCTCTTAGAAGCTCTTGGGGTAATCAAATATGAAGGGAAGTGTCGGTTTTCAAATTGAGAACTTATCAAAATATTTAATGTATAAGGTAACTCATACGAAATTGAATTTATTTTCTAGAGGAAGTGTTACTGGATGATAGAATGATATCTACACTAGCAGCTCAGGAACTGAGATTTTCAGTAAAATCTGAGGAAAAAAAAAACTCTAGTGACTGGTAATGTGCGACAAAATGGAACGAATTGTTATTATAAAACTTTTGTGTGAGAAAAGGGAGCACAGAATAGTTCGTATTTTGTAGCTTTGCACATAAAATCAGAGCCCAGGGAAGAGTGGGCAGGGGACCCCAACTGTGTTCACATGGCTTACGAGCTGAGAGATTGTAAACACTCTGTGCCTCCATTTCCTCAACTGAAAATTAACACTGCCACCTAGTCATAGGATTAAATCACATAAGATATGTATGACATTTAGCATAACGTCTAGTACATAGTTAAGTCTTTGGAATGTCAGCCGCTGTCATGGCTATTGATGAGAATGATGTGTGATCTGACATTTACTGGCTAAGGGACTCCACAGATGCCCCTCCACTCAGTATGTCAGGTTTTTTTACCTGACAAAGGAGATAGGAAACTGCATGAGTTGGGCCTTCATGAGGCCTGTAGCCTGGCCCTCCTGGGGGATGCACCTGTGAACTTCCCCTGGACTTCCTCCAGCCTCATTGTAAATGCTCACAAATTCTATCTCATTAGTTACTGGCATTTATGGGAAGGAAGGCATATATCTGAATTCCCCAGACAGCCAAGTGGGGAAGGAGTCAGAAGGGTAAAAATAAAAAGAAAAAGAAAAGAAAGAAACTCTGTGAAATAGGGAAGGGGGCTTCTCCTTTGTTCTTCAAGGACAGAATCACCTGCAATTTACTGTGCAGCGCCTACAGTCACTGGGCACCTGGAAAGGCACATGTCCACTTAGGAGCATGCCATGTCTCTGTAAGTTACTGAGCTCTTTGCCATCACAGAGCAACTTTTACATATTCTATATAGTTGTATTCTTCTGTCACTGCGTCACCATCTATCATGACAATCACACAGAAGTAGGGTGGACACCAATACCCCAGACTCTGCAGGGCTAATTGATTTGAAGAAGACATAGACACACTGCAGAAGAGGAGGCGTGGGATGCAAAGATGGCAGACAGGCCCTTTTTGGCATGCGGCTCCCAAAGCTTTCTTGTGAAAGGAGGGGAAATGACCACCTGTGGAGATTATACACTGCCTGCTTGATCCCAGATGGTGTGACACATTGAACTGAAAAGAGTTGTAATCTGAAAAGGACAAATGATGGGGAAACCAGGCTCTCCCTCCTTATCTTAGCCTGGACTCAGATGAAAACTTGCTCGCTTGGTGAAACCCATGTGGGGAGCTGGGCTGAGGCAAAAGGAGACAGGCCTGGGGACGGAGACACCCAGAACCTTCAAGTGGGATGTTTCTCCTGCCTGTGCACAGGTGCTAAGGGGCACACACATGCTAAAGGAGGCCTCGGCTCCCACCAGCCCTCAAACCATTCTCCGTCTGCAACAGGTAACTCCCTGGGGTCCACGATCCCTGCCTGCCTAGGGATCAGTTATTAGATCGCAACCACCACCCTACTGAAAAGAAGGTAATTTGGGTTTTCTCTGTGGAGTCACTCAAAGATGCGAAGGTTAAGGTATATAGTTTACTCTAGAGAAAAGTTTTGATATTTTATATTGAAATATTCCTATACTGCAACTTGCTAAATGCTCTGTGTCTATTTTAGGGGTAACTAAAACGGCTGGGGGGCCGGCCGAGTGGCACATTGGTAAGGAGTTGGCTTGGGACGCCAGCTCTGAGCAGCAGGGCCCCAGTTTGGATCCCACATGAGGGCCAGTGATGCTGTGCCCTCTACAGCTAAGATGGTGCACAACAGCTCGACCTGGAGCTGGGCTGCCATGAGTCACTGGCGACGGTGTAGGCTGCAGTGGGCTTCTGTAAAGCTACTGTGAGTGGCTGGCAGCCAGCATGAGCTGCCAAGAGCCGCCATGAGTGGCTGTCCAGTGGCCGGTGACCGATCTGCCTCACCTGGGAAGAGCGCAATGATAATACCAACATGGGCCAGTGAAGTGACGTCCTCCACAACTAGACTGAAGAACAAAAGAACAGCAACTTGTCTGTTCCCCTTCCCTGATTCCCCAACGCTGTTCCCTTCCCCCAATTTCCCAATTAAAAATCTTTAAAAAAAGAAAAAAAAATTTTAGTTGGCATTTAAGAAGTAGGATTTGTATAATATTGAGGTATTGAACACCCATACTTATCCAATTTTTTTTAAGAAACTAGAATTCAGTACTAACATTGCCTGTAGCATAAGCTTAAAATAACCAATGAAAACATGAAGAATTAAAGGAGAGTCTTAAGTAAAACCTAAAAGCTTGTATGTGTCCATATGGTCCCTTTGCTGTTGTTATGATTTAATGATCAGTGAGACCAGATGCTGCACGCTTGTGTTCAAGAGTTCAAGGACAGTGGAATTGTTAAGTTCGGGGGTTATACTGTAACCAGAACACATGTGATAGGGTCAATTCAATCATTTGCCCAACAAATCCTATGCATCCACTATGATCCAGCCACTTTTCTAGGGTCTAAGGGTATAGCAGTGAACAAAACTGACCATGGAGCACACATTCTAGTCAAAGAAACAGAGTCAGTAAAGGAAATAAATAATATGTATTATATGCCATAAGAGTCACAGAGAAAAACGAAGCAGCGAAGAGGCAGGGGACGTTCTGGGAGGTGCGATTTTACATGGGGCGGACAGGCAAGTGCTCACTCACACGATGACATCTGATCTAAGGAGAGAGCCCGGCAAATCTCTGAACGACGCGCATTCCAGGCGGCGTGGGCAGTCAGCGCAGAGGTCGAGAAGAAGGAGCATTATTTTCAAGGAAAACAGGGAGGCTAGTGTGCAGCCGTGGAATGAGGGAGGGGAGGGCGGCCTTGGTAACAGGGGGCAGAGGTAACAGCTGGCGGGCTGCTGGGTCATAGTAAAGACTTGGACTTGACTGTGAATGAGATGGGGTGTGACTATGCATCACATGCGACATCACAGCCAGTGACGAAATGACCGTGATACTAGAGCAGGGTTTTAACAAGTAACTTGGCTAATCTGGAAACACCAGCATGGATGCAGGACTCTCTTCAAAGGGCAGTGCGTGAGCTCAGCACAACCAGGTTTTAAGTCATCTCCTCTTGGATGTTTCCAGGCTACTTCCTGTCATCATGGAGCATCTGATGGGCATGCACAGGGTCAGATGCTGGCCTTGATTACTCCACTCCACTGAAGGGAGCCAGGGCTCTGGAGAGACGTCCCCGTTGCCCATGAAGGGAAGAGCAGCTCAGATGGCTGAGGCTGTTTGTTATTGGAAAGCAGAGTAGAGATGCCCGTAGGAGGGAATGTTTGAGGGCTCAGAGCTATGGGGGGTGGGGGGCAGGCTAAAGAGAGGGCCACTGTGGGCAAGCAGGGACATTCTGAGCATCAAAAATATTGTGCTAAAGCCCACAGAAAAACCAAACACTTAGATTTGCTCCATTGATATATCTCCCCTCATTGGGCAAATTAAATAGTTATTATGGTCTCCAATAGAAGAAGTCGTTTTCTGCTGATTTGAGATAAAGAGAACTTTGAACCTCAGGTGAGTGGTGAATTGCAAAGGGGACCTCAGACTGCACAGCAGCCTGCACCTATTGCAAGATGCTCCTGGAAAGTTACCTTGGCTCCACAGGAAGCATTTGGAATGTGCTGGAGTTGTTTTTCACCAGTTATTTGTAAGTGTGGACAGCAGGCAGGGAGCCCTGGTATCCAGAACAGCCAGAGAAGGAGGAGAAGGAAGCGTCTTGCACCTGGTGACTCCTCGCTCCACAATGGGGGACATATACAACTGCGGGTCCCGTGCACACTCTGGGGACTGCTGCCTCTGCACCTGCAATCTCGCAGGTGAATTTGGCTGGTGAAAAACAGCCATGCTGGGCACTTCGCTTCAATAAATGATCACAAACCTCAGTGAGCTCTTGGAGCTGCCTGCTGACAACAGGATCATTTCAAAGTCCATTCTCTCTCCTGATCTCCTGCAAGGCTATTTCACACCTTCTCTTTCCTCCTGAAACCTCCAACACCTTTTCTCCCTCTCAAACTGCTTCCTATTTTGCTGAGGATTCAGAAAAAATGAGGCCATCCAGCTACTATACCTTCCCACCTGTGATCATCTGTGCTTCACAACATTGTGAAGGTCCAACTTAAAATGTGGTAAGTCTGCCAAATCTGTGCAGTGCCAGAGATTTCTACAAACTTAAGTGAAGGCGTAGCCCCTTATCAGCTCACTGATGGAGGCATATATTTCCCTTGCTGGGCCATAGTTACTGCAGCTGAAAACAAAGTGCTTCCAGCACCACAAACTAGCACACTCATTTGGGGAGCAGTCACATTAGGTATAAATTGAAACGACTGTAAAGACCTAAATTCCACAAACCACCCAGAGACTACCAATAGCTTCTCTTACCCGGCCACCACTAGTCACTTCACATAATTTGAGTTGCTTCTGCTGGCTGAAACGCCATCTGCTATAAGCCAGAGGCAGAACTCTGTCCACTGGGAACATTTACCTACGGAAACTCTCGCCACCCTTAATCCACATCACTCTTATTAGCTGACCTGTAGGCTGTGAAATTTGCCTTTCTCTCTCTTCTAATGGCCTCCCCCATGCTGACTCCTCAAGTGCATTCATTTCACGTAGATGCTGCTTTAACCTGGACTACATTTGCAGAACCATATCCCACATTTTTAGACTTTGTATCCAGAGACAATCTTCCACAGGTCATAATTTTTCAAAAATAGGGTAGTAATGAACAATATTTCAAGGCATGGATGTGTGTTATGCCTTGCACTGAGCTTCTCTCCAAATAACTTACACTGCAGAGATTTACTTACTTTCTCCAAATGAGTTTTACTTATCAGAGCTCCCATGTTGGCTGATGGATCGGAGGGAATGCCAACTTTCCACATTCTGGTAGCTTCTACAAACCTCTTTAAGAAATCACTATAGATGCTCTTCTGGACAAAGATCCTGCTGGTACAGAGGCAGATTTCACCCTGCCATGAATGACACATAAGGACAATGACAAGACTTAAGGGCACACTCCATGGGGGTATCATGCTGCACTTCTGAGCACCTGCCATAATATATATATAAAGATGTATATATCTAAACCACTTTTCCTAGGAATGACTGTGAGAGAAATAATTACAATTATAATGATTATAAAAATAATTATTGTAAAAAGTGTTTTTCATTCTACATTCACAAAAACCCTATTGGAAGGCATTATTATTGTCATTTCCATAATTAACAGGTAAAGAAATGAAGGTTCAAAAGGTGATGCGAATTATTCGAGTTGGGTAAATAAAGATATCTCTCATTTCACTCATCTTTCCTTACATGGAAGTTCTAACTCTTTGACTTAAGTCTTTGTTTTCTGCTAAAAAATAATTTAAATACACCGTTTGGAGAAAATCATTTCGTATTTATACACACTGCTCCATCCTAGGCACTATCTAGGGCGTTGGAGCTAAAATGCTGCAAAGAAGCAGGCACAGTTGCCCTCTTCACGAAGCTCATAGTCTAACACATCTGATCCCTTTGGGATGCCACAGCCTTGAAGACTCTGATGAAAAGTGTGGACCCCAGGAAAAGATCTGTTACAGTTTCAGGAGGTGCAAAGTTGCCCTGAAGCTCATCCACGACTTTCAGGTAAGAAACCAGCTCTAGGCTACTTCAGGTATTTATTTCTAAGTGAGAGAATGCATTTGGGATGCTTTGGGAAGGAGAATAAGGTTTATTGGAGATAGGACATTTAGACAGCATGAAGAGACTAGAGGCAACTCTATGAATACAAGGAGGGAGAAGCAAACATCAATCATTTTGCCCATGGCTGGTCCCTGGTAAAAGTTGTGTAACTCAAGAAGAGGAGTTTGCTGAACAGAAGCTGTGACTCAACAAGGCAACGGATTGACATTGACATTGAACAGTCAGTGGAATAACACAATGTAACAATTCTTTTTCCACTGAAATAGCACTGGGTTGACCCACTCACTTCTGGCTTTGCCCTGTGATAAAACAGATGCAGTGTGACAGGGCTACAGAGTTAAACACAAACAAACAAACAAAGCAGCCAGAGGACATACTTGGTTGGCGAAGCTGGACCTGACAGTGGTTGGAACACACTCCTCCAGGTCCGCGTCCTCAAAGATAATAGCAGGATTCTTGCCCCCCAGCTCCAGTGAGAGCTTCTTGTAGTGGGGAGCACTCAGCTGTGTGATCCGCTCAGCTGTGGGCTGGCTCCCAGTGAAGGAGATGACAGGCACCTCTGGATGGGACACCAGGGCCTCACCTGCCCTGGGCCCTGTTCCAAACACAATGTTTACCACACCTGGTGGAACACCTGGATGGGAAACAGTATCAGTTACAGCAATTCTTCTCAGTATGTTGAGGACTTCAGGTTCCATGGAGATTCTCCTTGACAGTCCAATAGATTGAATGGGGATGGGAGTAAATTCTTATGGCTGTCTCTAGCTTAATAGCAAGGCAAAGACTATAGTGTTACCTCTGCATAGAGCACACCCTAGGTGGGATTTCTGTGGGTGCTTTGCCCTAGAAAAATGCAGGGTAGAACATTCTACATAATTCATTCCATAAAATGGACTAGGGCTGAGGATGTAGAGATATCCTCAGGCAGGTCAAGCCCTGTGAGGAAGGAGAGTCCTGCTCCAAGCTGGCATCCAGGAGCCACAACTGAGTGTGAAAATGTTAAGTAGAGGGGACTGTAAATGCTGCAAAATCCAGAGAAGAGATTGACTATTTTGGCCCAGGGGCGTGAAGGAGGGCTCCTTCAGGAAGGTAAATTTTGAGTTGAAGGTCCTGTGCGCCATGATATAGATGCACCATTACACTCTTGGTACTTAAAGTACCAAGAACACCCAATAATAGATGCCCCGGTCTTTTCTCTCATGAGTCCCTACTGCCCTATGCCTGCATGTATTTCCTCACGTGTTTTATGGATTGACCTGTTTACTACCCACCTACCACTAGAAGGTATACTAGCTAAGGGCAGAAATAACAACTGTGTTTTGCTCTTCATGGTATCCCCTGTACAATGCTCACTCACATTTACTGGGTGCTTACTATGGGTCAGCCATTGCTGTGAGTGGTTTACACCCTTTAGACCACCCAACAATTTCATTAGGTAGGTAGTATTACTAGCCTCACGACACACAGGAGAAAATTGAGGCAAAATGGGGTTAAGTGACAACAGTAAGAGGCAAAACTGAGTGTAGAAGATTAAGAAATAATTGTTAAGTAAACAGATGAATGAATATTTCATGTACATTATCCACATTGGGAATGGTTCTAGACTTTAGGAAGCTTTAAGTGTCCAGAAAGAAAATCTATGTGCAATTGTGTTGTGTCCCGGAAGTTCTTAGGGTTTGCCTGGAGGTAGTTGAGTTTGTTCCCTCCATTTCTTTAGGCTTGACCTACAGGAGAAGCAGAAATCCTCCAGTGTATAAGGTTTCTGAACTATGTCCCTGCTCCTAGCATCTTTCCTTTGCTCCAGGTTAGACATTCTCTCAATAGGAACATACTCTCTTGGATTAAAACCATCTGCTCAAGAATATGCTTTTAAAGTATAAGTAATAATTTCGTATTGATGGTCCATTATCACCCTAAACACCTTCCCACAGAGCCACAGCCTTAGCCCAATCACCTTGAGGGAACAACCAAGGCCCCATTCAGGTGAGCCCCCAAGGAGACAGGTGAGAAGACAATGAATCATGATGGCATCTGGCAAAACCTCACTTCTACACTCCGCGTGCACACTTATTGAAATCCAGCTTAGATCAGTTCTAGATCATAAGTCACTACTTGATGAGGGCAGAACCAGAGCCAAGCACCATGTGAGAGCAGCCCTGGGTTGGGGCAAGGATGGTGCTTGGGGGAGAGGTCCTCCCCATGGTTGATGGGAGGAAAGCAAGGACAAGTTTCCCACCATTTCCAGGATGGGGCCCTGCATCTCCATCAAGTATCAGGCATGTGGGTATTGGTCTGATATTTGGATGGGAGTTGGGGGCAGGAGAAGGCGAACTCTTGGGCTTTATAAATCCTGAAGGCAAAAAAAAAAATGAACCGAATCACTTGTAATGTTTACTGTAGCATTTTAACAAAGGGTGAGAGAAAACAGAAACACCACGTATTTATCACCATAGGAAAATGAGCTTGTTTCAGTAGGCTCGTGGCCTTTTACACAATGCATACACATTTTGATTACATTTCCTTGACCTCTGATGTTAATACATTAAGAGCTACCTACTGGTCATTATTTCTCAGTACCATTTTGTTATTTGATCAAGACATTAATGAAAAAATTTTAGAGATATCTGAGCTCTACCCTTAAAAGAGTCTAGTTATAAAAAAAAAAGGAGGCAGTTTAATCAACAAATAACAATTTGGTAAAACTCAGGGTAGGTGCTAACAGACAATGAAGGGAACCAAAGCCCTCCAAAGCTAGGATGTGGTAGGCTGACAATTAAATTTAAATAGAGCAAAACAAAATCTAATAGGAAGGGCCAGAAATCCTGTCAGTGGATACTCCAGGAATGAGGGCAAATATTTGGTGCCCCCAGGAAGAAAATGAAAATTCTAGTACTCCTGAAGAGGTATTCACTGCATACTTTTTACAATGATTTTATTTCAAAGAAAGGTCATCGCCAAGTCCAAATCTGTTTGAACCCTCAGGACTAGAGGAGCCAGCTCTTTAAATATCCTGAATGCATTAGCAGGTGGCTTTAGCTTTCTTTCCCCTACTATCAAAAGTTTCCCTCCCAGTGCTCTGAAGCAAGATTATGTAGATTGATTCACACCTCCTCCAATTCTAGTGGAGAAAATGAGGACTTAGAGAGGTGCAGGTTGAGCGTCGTACTCTCAATATTTGTCAGAAGAGGACAGTTTGGCTAGCCTGGGAAGGGAAGAAGTGGAGGACCATCTTGATATCATCAGCTTGGTCACACACACAAAATGAGATCAATGCTATACAAATAGGTAGAGACATAAAGCTCTCATGCAGACCAAGTACTGGGGTGTATGAATGGGGACAGTGGTTAGGAAAGAGAAAGCATAGATGAAGAAGTGGTTCATTTGAGGAGAGTGCTCTCTGGAACATGTCTCTGCAGCACCCTGCCCACCCCCATGGCACCCTCCCCAACCCAGATCAAAGCAAGAGGTTAGACCTCATTCTTATCTCATTCAAGGGAACCTACCATCAAAAGGAAGGAAAGAAACGCCTCGGACCTTTGCAGACACTAGAGACTCAATTTTATAAAGAATGGGATTAGAACGTGATCCCTTGTGTAAGGGAGAAATGACACACTCTGGGACCCAAGACGGGTAGGCGCATTCATATCATACACCCCCCAGAGGCCTAGGGCATCCACAGACATCATCCCAAAGACCAAGGCTGCGGGGCCTCACTCCTCTGTAGGATACAAGGGAAGTGGGCAACTAAACCAGGGCCATAAGCCCCAATGCTCTTCCCTAAACAGGCTTGGTTTACCCTGCCATCTAAATCCTGGAGTAAAGAACTGATTCAACCTTCCTGGAAGCCAAGGTGTATGTTTTTGCTTCAAGGGAAAAGGTACCCAGGAGAGAGAGAGATGGGCTCTTCCCAACCATCCGCTCAATGGATACAGGTAAGCCCAGCAGTACCTTCTCTGTGGACTTGAAGGAAGCAGACACAGCAGAGGTCAACAGAGCCAGAAAGATGGCCTCTTCCCCACCACCCACCATCATTCCAGCCAGGCTGTGAGGAGACATGAGCAGAGGGACTCAACAGCAAGGGGTTTTCTCGTGGGGTACAAGCCAGGGCTTCCTGCCTGTTACCCTCCAACTCTGGTGCAGTGTCGCGCTGAACACCCTGGAACCAAACCAAGAATGTACCCTGAACGTGGCCATTATGATATTGGCAGAAAGAGAAACTATATTATATCAGCGTTCAAGTAGTGTTTCTAAATACAGGGAAAACAAAGGATGTATATGCAACTCTCTTGAAAATGGGCTATTTCTATCGGGTATTCTACAGCTATACAAACCAGAGAAGTACTTAGCAATATTCTTAGAAATTTTCATCAAGATTAACTTGTGTTTCATGCATAAGATTTAAATTGACTATTGAAGACACTCTTGAGCAGGCAGCTACCTGGTTTGTTCGGGCTCTTTCAGCCTGTCTGCTCCTACTGTGTGCCCATTGCTCTGCCAGCCGACCCCTACATGGAGGAACTACCCTGCAGTAGCATCACTCTGGGGCTGAATAGAGAAAACTGTGTGAGGGAACTCCATTGAAAAGGGGGATTGCTCAGAAAAAGTTCATGGAGACAAAAACCAAAGATGTCACTGGAATCTATTTTGCCGCTGAGCAGATTTCTATCCAAAATCACTTTTCAAATGTCAGTAACCCTAAGGGGACTGAGGCCTACAAAACGCACAGCCCGAAAGCCACTTCTGTGCCTCCCTCACACTCTAACACCTAATTACCTGCTTTCTCCAGGAGTTTGCACATCATCCATGCGGTCACTGAAGTCATCTCGCTGGGCTTGGCTATCACAGTATTGCCGGCAGCAATCGCCGGAGCCATCTTCCAGGTCAGCAGGTAGAGTGGCAAATTCCAGGGACTGATCACACCAGCTAACAGAGGAGAACAGAAACAGAGCCAACCATGACATGTCCCTCAAAGCAGACTCACTTGGTGGGGTTCTTACGATGGAACTCCTTCTTGCTGCATGAAACTTAAGCTCCTAAAACTCCAAACTTTGCTTATTTGGAGCCAATTTCAGGGAAATCATTCTAAAATATATCACAAACAACTGTGCCTTTAAAAACTATCATCAACACAGTTTTCTCTTTTCTTGATGACTTATGAAATATTTATGAACAACAGCAGTATAAATTCCTGGGCTAAAAGGCTGTCACATGTCACTATACCGCTCCAGAAGGTGGTGACTTTTGAGATTTATGGACTAATTTTTGTTTAAACGTCTCCCTCCTCAGCATTAAACCACCAGCTACTATTTCTTCAAAGTTGCTCCATCTCTGCTTCTAATCTGTTGTGGACTGAGACATAAAATCTCAAGCCTTTTAGAATTATGTGTAAAATAAGAGAAAATAGGTTCTGAGACTGTGGAATCCATTTTATCGAGCCAGAGTATTTTTGCATAAAAAAATTCTCTCTACGCTCTCATTTGCGTCCTGATCAAACAGGTTTGCTGGATAAGTAACAGAGCCAGCATTGAGAGTGTCTCCATGTAAAGTTCTAAAACCGGCTAGGCTTCCAACCATAAAACACATAAAAATAAAATCTACCTTATGAATAAGCAATAAATGTATTCCACTTATTTTAGAATCTGCCCTTAAGTCTGTGCTACAAATATAAACATATTTTATATTATTACATTTCCCATTGAAAAATCTTTTCTTTAGGTGATAACTAGTATTTTGCAGCATAATATATATTAGCATTCTTCTTAGGAGGCTGAGCTTTCCATAATGCCTTGAAAATGCCATTTCCAAAGGGCTCAAATAATCAAAGTGGTAAAAATGTCCCATTTTCTTTCCTTTTAACTTATATTCTTTTATCCTGTCATAAAATGTAACTAATAAAATATGGACGGTTTTTTTTTTCTCAGAGGAAACAGTGACATCTAGTGGAAATTTTGAGTCATTGCAGATATTTATGTGTCCTCAAAGCGCAGGAAGCCAAGAAATGAACGTGGGAAGCTCATCATTTAGTCAAGGCTGATTTACCACGTACCTGGCACTGTTCTAAGAGCCCTACACTTATTAATTTACTTAATTCATAAAAAAATATATAAATACAAAATTAAACTCTTCTCCCAGTTTTTCAATAAGAATACTGAAGTACACGAAGGTTGTGTAACTTGCCCCACACCTATCTAAAATCCATGCTCTTCACCAAAACACTCTCTGGAAATAGACCTTTTTTTTTTTTCCTTAATTACAAAGGAAAAAAACCCTGGCTTGAATTTACTCTCAGTGTCACTTTTCCCTGTGATTTCCCAAGAACAATGTTCCAGGAATAAATAGGAAACTTCACACAGAGACAATAAACTATTACAGAAATTGATTTTTAAGGCCAATTATGTTCCAGTCAAGTAGAAAAAAATCAGATCCTTCCTTTTCTTTAGTCTGTTCCTTGAAGCCAATTGTACAGCACGGATCCAGCATCTCTGTGCAAGTGTGGCCCAGGCTTCCCCTGAACAGCACCTACCAATCCCCACAGGGGCCCGCACGGTATAGTGAAGACAGCCCAAGTGGTCCATCTGTGTGCATTCTGACGTGTGGTGCAGGATGGAGGAGGCAAAGAATCTGAAGTTGTAGGCAGACCGGGGAATGTCCAAGGTTCTCGCCAGTGTTATGGTTTTCCCTGTAAGACGTCACCAACAGAAAGCACAGTCAGAGTATTCACCATGAACAGCGGAGACACTATCACGCACATACCTCAGCTCACGCTGAGTGAAGTAGCCTCTGTTCCTTCCAGTCTGGGCCGGGCATTCTTTAAATATACAGAGCGTTGATCATGGTTTGATAAAACCATGAAATAATTAAATATGAGGTTATAAGAGGAGGTGGGAGGGGGGAGTTAAATGTGAGTCAAATGATCTTGGCTTTGTGGACTGAACAATGCCTAGGCATCATCATGAATCTTCCAGATGCTACCACTTCACTCACACCAGCTCTTTCAACTCAAAATCACAAGCTTTGTGCATGCTACAAAGGGGTTGGAATTGTGGGTATTAATGCAGCTGTATTTGCACATCACAAAAAACCACTTGGATAAACACGTGATATATATTAAATGTCCCTACAACACATGGTGGAGTCATTAATATGGACAACTGATGGGAACCCCTGGCACAGGATGCTGTCTGGCACTTGATCACCCAGCACGTGTCACATCCGCATCCTAACTCCAGGACTGAACAAAAAAAGACCTCTAAGCTCACCTGGACTGTGAGTTGTCTTTAGTGATGCAGGGAGATAACAGTGTCAGGAACACCAGCAGGAAACATTTTCTTTGTAAGGGCTCAGAGTCAGGCTGCTTCCTAACTTTAGGCTGGTTTACAGTGTGCATTATTTTATAAGATGTTGGCTTTTCCTAACAGATATTATTGAAAAGCTTTCCAGACATTAACTTCATTATCCTGACCTCTGGGGAGGAGTTCAAAATTTGGGAAATAGTGTTGGGAGTGGAATAATGACATCTCAGATGTCTTTCTAAATAACCTGACTGTGCAGCTGCTCTTCAAATGATCTTTACTTTGAAATTCTCCACTTAGAATTGGTAGTGGAAGATCACATGATCAACCTTAGGTTTTCCTCTCTCCCCAGATCCATGCCCTTTGACATACATCTCTGCAGTTCCTTCCACCACACAGAGTGTATCTACTTCCCTGCCCCTTGTTTGGGTTCAGCGGTGACACTTTAGCCATCAGATGAGGCAAGCCTCAGCCTTCAGAGGCCTTTGGGTGTTTTGCTTTCCACCTCTGCCTCTGCCATGAGAAGAACATGTGCCACCTAGCCTGACGGTCCCAGGAGGGGTAATATGAAAGAAGTGCGGCGTTCCATCCATTACAGTTAAGAAACAAGAGACCACCCGACACACTGGAAGGAGTGGATGAATCGCCAGCATCTGAGTAATGGATCGCACTTTCTATGAAGCATTTAGTAAGAGACAGCTACACTCAACCCCTGGCTCTGCTAGAGAGAGCCCGGAAGAAGGAAAAGGCAGAGACCCGGCTGAGCGGGCTCTCCAGATGCGCCAGCGGCTCTCACCGGCTCTCACCTTGGTCCTTAGATTCGGCCTGGGCCAACTCCTCCAGAGACTGCTCCAGCAAGTCCGCCAGGCGGTGCAGCACCTGCGAGCGCTCCTGTGGGCTCCTGGCCGACCAACCTGGGAAGGCGGCTTTGGCGGCCTCCACCGCCGCCTCGACCTTGGAGGAGCAAACAGGAGAGAGGGTCGCGTTAACACTTATTCCCAAGGGGTTGGATGAATCCAGAACCCACAGGTCCATACACATGTAATTCTTTTCTGCCTGATTTCCCAGTACTGAGTTACCTACAAAGTGATGTTTATGTGACCAGGAAGCAGAGGCACCACCGCAAAACACAAATGAACAAAAAAATCGCTTTGTTTCAACCAAGATATCCAGAATGTGGCAATCAGATAATTAAAAAAGAAGCTACTTGAATTTTAACAGGTGTACATTTTCAATCATTTCAAAATGTAGAATTTTTGGAATACAATATGAGAGAGGAAAGTTAGTTGAGATGTGTAGAATCTCGAAACTCTACCTCTGATATATCTGATAAGGTCTAAAATTTTGTTTGAAACCGCATCCTGTCATTCCCACTTGAAATGATCAGTCATGTTAGTCATTTATTAACTAATTTTTATATATAGCAGAATACGAGTTCTGACAATTAAGTTCATGAACTCATCCTAGAAAAAGTGTTACATGCCTCATTGCTGAATATCACTATGGTCACCTTCGAAGTACTCCCCTTGGGAAGCTATGCACTGACACCAGCACCTAGTCCACCCTTCAAAGCAATTTTGGAACTCTTTTTCTGGAGTGGCCATCAGAGCTGTCATTGTATTACCCTTGATGTCCTGAATGTCATCAAAATATCTTTCTTTCAATATATCCTTTATCTTCGGGTAAAGAAAGAAGTCACTGGGGGCCAGATCAGGTGAGTAGGGAGGGTGTTCCAATACAGTTATTTGTTTACTGGCTAAAAACTCCCTCACAGACAGTGGCGTGGGAGCTGGTGCATTGTCGTGATGCAAGAGCTCCTTCGGGACCATTTTTGCACATGCCTTTCTCATGCCAAGATTTTTAGTTAAGATTTTCCTGTTTCTCTATTGATATCTACTTGGCCTATTATGCTTCTCACAGTCAGCTGTTGATTTTGACACACAATTTGACGAATTTTTGCAATGTTTTTGTCAGTCCTGCTTGTTACTGGCCGCCCTGACCTTTCTTCATTAGTGACAGGTTTTCTCCCCTCAGAAAAACATTTAATCCCTTTGTACACTGCCGTTTTTTTCATGGCCTTATCCCTTACGGACTAACATGTCCCTGATTTCACTTCCACTCTTGCCAAGTTTAACAAGAAATGTAATGTTTGTTCGTTGTTCTAATTCAAACTCAGACATTCTTGCGACAGCACACAAAAACACGCAACAACAATAATGAACGCCACCCAGCAAGACACCTCCACATGTTGACATGAACACAGCTGGGAGACACTAATATACCAAGGTTATGAAACCTTACTGAGCTGTTTGTGCAGTGCTGCCAATGGAAGTGCAGGGTGGCAAGTTCGCAAACTTAATTGTCAGACCTTGTATTGTAAATGCTTTACACACATTATTTCACTGAACGCCTTTTAAAATTCTGTAACATGAGTATCGCCATGCCCATTTGCCAAACGAAAAACTGAAGCACAGGGAGCTCAAGTAACTTGCCAGAGGTCACACAGCTAAGAACTGACAGGATCAGGATTTACACCCATTTTTGTGGCTCCCAAGACCACATGCCGGCCAGCTATGACACGGCCACAGTCCCTGCCCCCTGCCTGTCTCTGCCCAATGGAAGGGGCCTCTGTTGGGGAGAAGGGTATCTGTAATTGAACAGACAGCTTGGGGACCTGGTTTTGGAGGGAAACCCAAAAGGAAATAATATATGGGAAGGTATGGGCAAGGCCAGTTCATGCAAGCAGAATGAATGTTCAGGTCATCTGCTGCCTTTCTCCTCTCTTAAGCAATGCATAAGCAATGCTTTTTTGAGAGATAGCAAATCCATAGACTGCCTCACCCTCTCCAGCCTCACAGGCATGACAAACATTTATAATCACTCACAGCCTTTTTCTACCACAGGGCCACAGGCTCAGCCCCAGAACCCTTTCCTACAGGCTTCAGGCAGCCATGGCTTATTTCTTGTATCACATGACCTGACAATTCAGCCCCCCACACCTATGCTAGCCCTCTCACACAGAATCTGATCTGCACTTTCTTTATGTGAACAAAGTCACTTTCAGAAGAGCCGAGGTAAGGTGTAAAATGATTCTCATCTTAATTAGAAATTCCTGGAAAGATGGTGGTTTAACTTCAAAAATTAATCTCTGATATGGACCTGCAGGCAGGATAAAGGTAATCATGGGCTTTCGTGAGCTCCACCCTGAGTTGCAGTCTTGTAGATGCCCTGCTGTGAGCCAACAACAGGAGGGTTCATTCCTACAGCTGTCAATGTAAAAATCCAATCTTTTTTTGATAAGCAGAAAATTCAGGTCCAGTCATATTTTTTAAATTGTTTTATGTCAAATGTCTTATGTCAAGTTAATACAGAATACATATTAATCTACTACACACAATATTAGCGAAAGCTAATGCTTAGAAAGCACTTACTATATGCCAGGCGCTGAGGGTTTTAACATAAATCAGTAAATCAACCTGTTTTAATCCTCAGAACAACACTATGAAGTTGATATTTATTATCCCCATTTTATAGATAAGGAGACTGAGGCAGAAGTAGGTCCAGCTCTAAATTAAGACTGTAGATTCTAAGCAGTGCAGCTGGTCTTTGAAGCCAGGCTGTCTGACTCCAGTCTGTGCTTCAGACTGCAACGCTATAATATAAATGCTACCAAGTGTGTGTGTGTGTGTGCATGTGTGTGTACGTGTATGTGTGTGTGTGTGTAATATCCATTGATCTAAGCATCAGAGATAAGAGTGTTAGCAAAACACTGTCCTCTGTAAAATCAGGATGATGACAGAGTCTAAATTGTAGGTTATGATTCATATTTGGGACAATTCATATTAAAGGGCTTAGTGAATACAAAGTATATAGCAAAAACTAACTCAACGGAAACCACTGTTAGCAGCACCAGCATCACGTTCTGTGAGTGACTTTTTTGGGGAAATTGGGCATGTAGTTTCTATGGTGACCATATTATTCAAGCCTGAAAAAAAAAAAAGGATTTATGGGATGATAGAATATTTGCAAGCTAGATTGCTGAGAAATCCAAACTATCTAATCCTCTATTAGCAGAAACATCCCTAACTCGAAAATGCAGGAACCATAAGCTGCAGAAAATATTTCAACTGAATTTGGCATATTTTTCATTTTTAACTTCAGTTTGGAATACACTCTGAGATAAGGAGGATTGGAAGACATAAAGCTAGATTCCCCACATCTATCCTAGGTCATTTGAAACAAAGAAAACAGTGGGTAACAGTTTAACTAACAAATTAGCCAATATTTGTAACCTTTGATCCATAAGGTAAGGTGTTTTGTTTTTTTTTAATGCAAGACAGATTTAAAATATTAACAACAGAAATATATTAGCTTAGTTCTTCAAAAAAAAACTTGCATATAATGAAGGCTACAATTATCTTTTAAATAATCTGGTTCTTTGTACCTTAAAAAAATAAGTTAAAATCCACTGGGCATTAGACGAGTACACACGCATCAGCCACTTGTATCACTCCACACACGTTTATATCCTCAGTGCAATAATTGATAACTAATCAAATATATCACAAAACTCTTCAAATAAAATTCTATGTCACTAAAAATGTTTAATGTGTGTGTCATTAAGCATTTGAATAAGAAAAACGCTGCTGTTAAATATAACTCCAAAAATGTATGGGATTTTAATTTTGAATTTTACCACTGAAATGATGTTTTGCTTTAGTAGGCATTTTGAAGAATTTAAGCATTATTAGAGGATAATCTAAAGTAAATCAATAGTTTAAAAAAATTTTTTTTAGAAATCCATGGATACAGTAGCAAATTTAGGCAACACTTGAAAGAAGGAGCACTTAATACTGATAATTCTTATGAATACTTTTTTACTAGATACCCATTAAGGAACGTCTAAGAATTGTGGCTGTTAGGCTGCCTCAATTATTCACTTGCTTCTACATTTAAGAACCTGAGGTTTGTTCCATGTACCTGCTACAAAGCAAACCTTCCTAGAACTAAAATCTGCCTGCTACTAATGTCTACCATTCTGTACCTTTTCCCAACCCCTTTTGTTTCTAGAAAATTAAGTGACACATAATTCACCAACATATTAAGCATATTTCGGTCTTCTGTAAGTGAATATACTCACCTCCTCTTTCCCACTATTTGGCACTCTGCAGTACACCTCACCTGTAGATGGATCGTAAGAATCTATATATGAGGGAGAAGGTACAAATTTTCCATTTATGAAGTTTTCCAGCATCAGAAGTGTCTTTGTTCCAGCCATAGTTAAGAACACCCTGCCTTTCTCCTTGACAGTTGTTCAGTTAGGTGATCCCCACTTTTTCCCTACTCCTGAGTTTGTCTTCTCCTCCTCATTTCCAGCCCCAAAGTTCTCATTTGCCAATCAGTAAAGGTGGGAGGTGACCTGACACTCTCAGAGAGTATTCCAGTCTCCAAACTCGGAATGAAGTGAGTTCTCAAATATTTCAGACTTCTAGTACATTATGAGCAATGAATAACATTGGGTTGTCGGAAAAGTCATGACGTATTTTTTTCTGTTTTTCGTTGCAAAAATACATCATGACTTTTCCAACAACCCGATAATATGTTAAACTAACACCAGCTTATGTGTTCGTGGCCCTTTAAAATTGTCAGGGAACATCTGTGTGTATATTGTCGAATACCAATGTAAACTGTACAAACTGTACATTGCTCATGGTTTAGTGTACAAACTGTACATGGTTTAGTGCCAGGCCCTGAAGCAAGTTCTTCATACGAATTTAATAATTTCTTCCACACAACAATCCTATATAAAGTGTCATTACTTCCTTTCTTTTGTAGAAGAAAGTGAGCCTCCGAGAGGTTAATTTGTCCAAAAGTGCAGTCAGTAAGGAATGAACCTTAATCCTTTTGAGCTTTTCCCTTAACGCATCACTGCCCTCACCCCACAGAGGTGACAGAAGACAGACTCTGTTTTTCCATTGCTAATCTGTTTCTCTTTACTTTGGATGCCTAAAGGCCTCTCTAAACTTTGTCTCCATCCTGAAACCAGGCCTGCAGAGGTGTGCCATGGAGATAAAGATACAAACCAAAAATATGTATGATAGATAACATACAAGAACTCCATATCCGTGATGCATGTATTAATTTCTACAAACGGGAAAGAGACATGAGCAACCCAACAGAAAAAAAAAAACTAAGCAAAGGATATAAAAACGCAGTTCATAGCAAAGGGAATACATTTGGCTAACGAATGTGTGAAAAGGACGCTCTGCATCACTATTAATGAGGGAATGCAAAATGCAGAGAAGTGCCCTGTTTTGCCAATCAGACTGGAAAACATTTTTAAAGATCAATAAAAGTCACTCTGTGTGAGGATGTGGAAAAGCGTGTGTCTCTTATTCTGGGAGGGTTCACTGAACACTGGTTAGGGCAACCTGGCAGTGTCAATATTTAAACGTGCCTACTCTGGGTTTAGCAATTCCCTTTCTAGAAATTTCTGCTACAAAATTACTTACTCATGTGCAACCATATCTGTTCCCATCACACCCCAGTGGGTGGATTTGATGCCAGGTCCTGCACAGTGAGGATAGAAGAATCAAGACCTTAGGTTCAACTGACAAAAATTATAAATGTGAGGTATTAGGTAGATCAACATTCTAAGAGAATTAGTAGTTCTAGAATATTCCAGAAGAGGATAGGGTGCTTTTACCTCATGGACAGAAGTGATTCCCTTCAAAAGAGGGGAGACAATTCCTGAGTTAGTGAACTCTGAAGTGTTTGGACACCCCAGCCCAGGTGGACTGCAGTGCTAGAAAGTACAATGAGTTTAAGTGACCATCTCCTACATGCCAGGAGCCATGAGTAAAGATATAGGTACTTTAAGCTGGAAGAACTCACTTTTTACTGCGGAAGATGGACTGGTAAATATAAACCACAATTTGGGCGGCCAGCCGAGTGGCTCAGTTGGTTAAGAGCTCACTCAAGAGTGCGAGCTCTGAGCAACAGCATTCGAGTCCCAGTCTGAGCTGAGCTGCCGCTGAGCTGCCAACAGGTGGCAGGATGGCTCAGCTAAAAAAAACAAAACAAAAAAACTAAAACACAATTTGGAAGCATGAGGGCACCCGTGGAAGTGTGCACTCAACAAGACAGGGAACCGAGAGCACCTCGTGAGTTGAATGATGACTTCAGAGCATAGACTTTGGGATGACTAAAGGAGGGTAGAGACAGACAGGAGGAAGGTAATTCCAGGCAGAGGAAATACCTGTTTGGGACCCCATCTTCCTTCTGTCTCCACACGAACCTTGACTGCTGGATTATCTATCTGACCCTTAAGTCTTTCTCCTCCCTCCTGGCTCTTCAGCCTTTAAATGAGGTCAAGCCTCTCCAATGTAATATGTGACCAGTGTGGAGGAAATTCGGGGCCTGGCAGGGTAAAGGTGTGTGCTTCCACCAGCCTGAGAACACTGCTCTGAGAATCACAAAAATTAAACTTAGCCAATGGAGTATCAAATGGATATTACAAAGGCCACACGCTGTGGAAGCAGCTACTACTATCTAATCCCACAGTGCCTTGATCGATATTTGTGACCAGATACTAGTGGGAGGGTCACACATTAAAATCAATTAAGGTGCAGTTTTTCTGGGTCAAATGGCCAAGGATAATCAGAGAAATTATGATACTTTATACCAAATGAATTAAGTAAAAACAATCGCTCAGCAAAATGGGCTCTTTAGAAATAAGTGACCCACAATACCTTAGAATAAGCGTGCACTGATCTTTTTTTCTTTTCAAAACCCAACCTTAGACAACAGGGCTCCTAGTGGGTGGGTCAGAGAGGAGCCTAACCCTCCAACAAAGGAACGTGGGTTTTTGCTTCAATATGTGAAATGTTAATAGGGACTGACTGGATGGTAGTAATCCACACGTGTTAATTTCTTGATTTCGATGGCTAACTTGTGGTTATGCAGGAGAATGTACTTCATTGCAGGAACTATGTAGAAAATTCAGAAACGATGGGGCATCATGGGGCAACATTATCTCAAATGGTTTAGGGAAAAATTTCTTTGTACTGTACTTGGAACCTTTCCATCCATGTATTTGAGAGGTTTTTCCAGAAACCACATTAATAGAAAAAGTGGCATTGGATTCTTACCTTATACCAAGCACATATACTCACACTACACAAATACATCTGTAAAAAAAATTTAATGGAAGGAAATGTTAAACTCAAAATTAAGTACAATGTTAGGGGCGGTGAAAGGCAGCCTGATGGGATTAGAGTGATTTCAATATTTGTTAGTAGTGTTCTAATTCATTATTAGAAGGATGGATTTATGGGGTTTTTTGTTATACTCCTTATTCTAGATATTACATAGGGTTTTTTTTTACTTGTATCAAGTATTACATATAAAAATTTAAAGAATAACTATGTAAAATACTTTATATTTTAGGACAGTTTTAGGTTTACAGAACAACTGGGAATTCTCATGTACTCTGCATCGTTTCCCTATTATTAATGTTACATTAGTATGGTACATTTGCCATAATCAATGAACCAGTAGTAATAGGTTATTATCTAAAGTCCCTCGTTGACTCATATTTCCTTAGTTTTTACCTGGTGTCTTTCTGTTGCAGGATCCCATTCATGATTCATTACATTTAGTTATGTCTTCTCAGGCTCCTTTTGGCAGTGAGCTTCTCAGACTTTCCTTGTTTTTGATGACCTTGACAGTTTTGATGAGTATTGGTCAAGTACTTGGTAGGATGGCCCTCCAATGATGTTTTTTTCATGATTAGACTGGTGTTGAGTTTTGGGAAGAAGACCACAGACATAGAGTGCCATTTTCACTACATCATTCCAAAGGCATACATAATCAACATGACCTAATCACTGTTGATGTTAATTAACCTTGATCATCTGGCTGAGGGAATATTGGTCAGGTTCCTCCACCATAAAATTATTTTTCCTTTTCACCTTTTTCATTCTGTACTCTTTGGAAAGAAGCCACCATGCTCAGCCACGTTTAAGGAGTGGGAGATACGCCACCCCTTCTTGAGGATGGAATAGCTACATAAATCATTCAGAATGCTTCTGCAAGGGAGGTTTGTCTCCTCTTCCCCACCCCAATCCTTTATTTATCCCATCATTTATTTATATCACCATGGACTTATAGATGTATTTCCTGAGGAAAGTTGTTTTGTATCTTTTCTAGGTTTTTTTTAGTTAAATGTTTAGTTCATTTATTTCCTGTATGTTGATAATAAAAATATTTAAGGCTATACTGATTCCATTTTATATTATATATATATATATGTATACTATATATGCATATTTGTGCAGTTCATACATTATATTACATATGTATACATTACATTATATATTTGTGCATCTATATTATGTATTTGTCACTAATTCTTTTTTTAGTTATACCTAATCTGTTTAATCTAAATAGCAGTTTTTAGTTTCAATTATTGTTTTTCATTTTTAAAAGTTATATTTGATTGATTTTAAACTTGTCTAGTCACAGTGTTCTCCTGAACATTAACAACCCTTGAATCTGACATCAGACGGGTCACTGTGATCTCGATGACGTGAGAGACCAAGTCACTGCAAACCGTAAAAATGACGAAGCAGCCCCCTCTTGTGGTTAATATGAGCAATTGCTTCTGCTTTACCTTGTCCTGTTTCTCCTCTTAGGTAAAACTTGATACCCAATTGCAGCATGACTCCCACTTTCTGACAACATCCAATCAATCCAAAGGAAACCCTCGCTCACGAGAGCCCTCCTCAAAGTCACCTACATATGCTCAAATGCTTTAACAAGCCCCTCCTTACAGCTTCTTAGTAAGAAGCGCCTCCATTGTGTGGTGTCCATTGCTGCAGCAATCCTCAGTAAAAATTTTGACTACAGTTGTGTCCTGGTGGTCTTTGATGATATATCAACAAATGATGGGCATCAACATATGCTTGCTGCAGAGCTTTCTACCATGGCATCCCATCCCCAATCTTAACGTTTTTAACTACTTCTTTATGATCTGAACATTTTAAATCCTGCCTGCCTACAGTCCTTTCACCCCTTTCCCAGGTCATCTTTTGAGACTTTCTTACCGCCACCTATAAACAATGCCATAGCTGAGTAATGAATTAGTGGGTTACAATCCCTCTAACTAAAGTTTTATATAGAGTAAAAAACGGTAAAACCTTGAATTGCGAGTTAACGTGGTTTCCAAGTGTTTCACAAGACAAGCAAACATTCCTAATACATTTTAACATGGTTGGTAAACGAGCGATGTCTTGCAACATGAGTAGTTTGTTTCCAGAACGAATAATGCTCACAAACCAAGGTATTACTGTATTTAGCTCCTGTGTCTTGTCTTTTGGAATTTAGCGCTCTAATCCCTTCACAATGTTTTACATAAAATATGGTGTACTCTCTTCAAGTGC